GTTTTCTGGTGGTTTATTGGAGATAGGAGTCTCACGGTCTCTCCTGCCCGGGCTGGCTTTGAACCGGGATCCTCAGATCTCAGCCTACTGAGTAGCTAGGATTACAGGCGTGAGCCACCAGCGCCCGGCTGTTTTCTTATGTCTTGATAAATGTAAACAAAACAAAAACTCATTCACCACTTTCTTTGGTGGCTTACCCCTGTAATCCCAGCCTTGGAAGTGGAAGATCAGGAGGACTGTGGTGTGAGGCCACCTGGATAAAGTTAGTAAGACTTCTATCTCAGTCAATAAACTCACATGTCCATCTCAGCTGCAAGGGTGGTGTAATTAGGCAGACTGTGGTTCAGCTGACCCTGATAACAGGTGAGACCCCACTAAAGCAGCGAGGCCTGCGGACATAGTGCAAAAACTCCTGGCTAGCAAGTTCAAGATCCTGTGGTAAATCCCCAACACACAATTCCCGAGACACAAAAACCTAAAACTTGACTTGCTTAACTTACCTATAAAGGTAAAAATTCTTCGAACATTTAAAGCGGAAAAATCCCATTTGACCCTTAAGTTGTCAGCAGCTTGACCAGACAGGATCATACATAACCAACAGCCAAAATAAGGCAGTGCAGATAAAACACCATTCTGTAAGGGGTAAGAAAACACAGGCTTGATTCTTTTTTTTCTTTCTTTTTTGCCAGTCCTGGGGCTTGAACTCAGGGCCTGGGCATTGTCCTTAAGCCACTCTGTGCTCAAGGCTAGTGCTCTACCTTTGAGCCACATTGCTTCTTCCAGTTTTTTCTGTTCATGTGGTTGAACCCAGGGGAATTGAACCCAGGGCTTCATGCATGCTAGGCAAACACTCTACCACTAAGCTATATTCCCAGTCCTAATTTTTCTTTCTTTTTTTTTTTTTTGGTCGGTCATGGGGCTTGAACTCTGGGTTTGGGTGCTGTCCCTGTATTCTTCATATCAAGGCAAGCATTCTGCCACTTGAACCACAGCACCACTTCCAGTTTTCTAGTGGTTGGTTGGAGATAAGAGTCTCACAGACTTTCCTGCTCGGGCTGGCTTTGAACTGTGATCCTCAGATCTCAGTCTCCTGAGTAGCTAGGATTACAGATGTGAGCTACCGGTGCCAGGCTAATTTTTACTTCTTATTTATTTTTATCAAGTTGTATGCTGGTGGCTTACACCTGTTATCGTAGCTACTCAGGAGACTAATAGATGACAACTGCGGTTAGAACCCAGGAAATATTGTGAAACTCTTATCTCCAATTAATCACCAATAATCCAAAAATGGAGCTGTGAATCAAGTAGTAGAGCACTAGACTTAAGCTCAGATGCAACACCTGGATCTTGAGCTCAAGCCTTAGAACTAGCATATATGTGTGTGTGTGCCTGTGTGCGTGTGCATGTGTCTGTGCCCATGTCTAAAATAACCAGCAAAAAGTAGGGTTGGAAGTGTGGCTCAAGTGGCAAAGTACCAGTGGGCCAAGCAAGCTGAGTAAGTGTGAGGCCCTGAGTTCTAGTCCCAGGACCACTAAAACAAACAAAAGAACAAATGAGAGAGAGAGTGTTTGTGGGGGGAAGGAGTGTGTCTCTCAGTTGGATACACTGGTACTCATCTGAAATCCAGCACTTAGAGGTAGGAGAATCTGAAGTTTGAGATTAGCTAGGTTACACTGTGGGCTGAAGGCTAGCTTGGGCTACACCGTGAGACTCTCTCAAAATCAACCAATTAGCCAAGAAAAAGGAAGAAGTCTAGAGACTGGACACTGGTGGAGCCCGGACACTGGTGGCTCATTCCTGTGAGCCTAGCTACTTAGAAGGCTGAGATCTGAGGACCACAGTTTGAAGCCAGCCCAGAAAGGAAAGTCCATGACACTTTTATCTCCAATTAATGACCAGAAACCTGAAGTGGCACTGTGCCTCAAAGTGGTAGAATGCTAGCCTTGAGCAAAAAAGAACTCAGGGACAGAGCCCAGGACCTGAGTTCAAGCCCCACGACTAATACCACCAACAATAACAACAATAATAAAGGAAAAAGTCTATAAAATTTAATACAACAAACTAAAATGGAAGATATAAAATAAAAATAAATGAATTCCAAAGAGATGAAAACAAATTTTCTGTGTAATGTTAATTATATACTCTACATAAAAGGCAGCTAGCTTACCTGTAACCCTAGCTACTCAGGAGGCTGAGTTCTGAGGCAGTTTGAAGCCAGACAGGCAGACAAGTCCCTGTGAGACTCTTATCTCCAATTAACCGCTCAAAAACTAGAAGTGGTGCTGTGGCTCAAGTGGTAGAGTGCTAGCCTGGAGTAAAAGAAGCTCAAGGACAGTACCCAGCTTCCTGAGTTCAACCCCCACAACTGACAAAAAAAAAAAGCAGATGATTATTTTTTCTTACCTCTTGAACATTAAATCTGAGGATATCCTTCATGTAAGTAGGCAATAATGTCAGTAAAGTATAGAAAGTCCAGTTGTAAGAAAAGTGTGCAACAACAATGGCCCAAAGTGGCAGTGATTTTAAGATAGATATCCATGGTACTGACTTCTGGAAAGAAAGCTGAAGAAAACATAAACCATTAGGACAATTGGTGTTAATGCTTACTTACATCTGTCCTAGTTAGCTAGAGCATAACCTAGAATGCCCAAAGAATTGGACCTGATTAATACATTCCAGAATTTAAAGTCAACACCTCAGAGGCAGAAGATGGCAGTTAGAGGTACAGTGCATGGTAACGTTTACTTGTTCCAATTAAAAAATATTAAGTGGAAGCCAGGTGGCTGTGGCTCACATCTGTTAATTCTAGCTACTCAGTAGGCTGAGGTCTGAGGATCACAGTCTAAAGCCAGCTCAGGCAGAAAATCTCTTATCTTCCATTAACAAAACAACAAAAAAGCTAGAAGTGGAGGTGTGGCTCAAGGAGAATGCCAGCCTTAAGCAAAATGTCAAAGCCAAGTGAGAGTGCAAAACCCTAGCACTTGTGCATGCATGCGTGTATACGTATGCACACACACACACACACATGCATGCATGCAAGCACGCACAACTAACTAAAGACTTCATGGTTAAGTTAGAGGGAAGAGTAGAAAGTAATGTTGGGGGTCACAGTGTCAACCCTAATACTTTTCATGAATATCAGATGCTTCTATGAAAATCAAGAATAGTTTTATAATCATACTAAGAGGTTGAGAGAAGGGTGAAGGAAAGCTTTTACAACCCAAACTTTGTTCAATTGAAATGACTTATATGAATTGTGCAAGCTGGGTGTCATAGCACACACCTACAGTTCAAGCCCAGTCTGGGTAACACGAGAACTCATCTCAGAGGAAAAAATAAAATGAGAGAAGTGCAGTTTTAAGCTCCCATTTCCTGCAAGGGGAACAGGAAATGTTTGTTTTTTTCTACGGCTCTCAATTTTTGCCCTGTTATTCTAAAATAAATCTTTGCTAAAACTTAACTTGTTTTGTGTGTGTGTATGTGTGCAACAGAAGGGCTATATTTGTAGCCATAAAGAGTAGCTGTTTTGCCAGGTGCTGGTGGCTCACGCCTGTAATCCTAGCTACTCAGGAGGTTGAGATCTAAGGATCGTGGTTCAAAGCTAACTTGGGCAGGCAAGTCTGTGAGACTCTGATCTCCAATTAACCACCAGAAAACTGGAAGTGACGTTGTGGCTCAAGTGGTAGAGTGGTAGCCTTGAGCAAGAGCTGAGGGACAGCACCCAGGGCAAGAATTCAAACCCTACCACCCACAAAAAAACAAAAAAAAAAGAGTACCTATTTCAAAGTAGGGTAGAAACAGCCCAGGGGTATTTAAGAAAGACCTATTACAACTTCTATTTATACTAATTTCTATTATAAAAGAAAAATTAAACTATTAATATTTAACATGTAAGCTGGCCCTTATGGCATATTCTCACCAATTCAGAGGCTAATAATGGTATTCTAGTCCTCAGTAGTTTATGGCAGATTCCACAGTTTACAGGGTAGATCTGCCTATTTAGGTGTGGTTTCTTTTTTGGTGCCAGTCCTGGGGCTTTAACTCAGAGTTTGGGTGCTGGCTGGAGATTTTTTTGCTAAAGGCTAGCAGTCTACCACCTGGGCAATAGATCCACTTCTGGTTTTTTGGTGGTTAATTGGAGATAAGGGTCTCAGGGACTTTCCTACCCAGGTACGTTTTGAACCTAAACCCTCAGTTCTCAGCCTCCTGAAAAGCTAGGATTACAGGCATGAACCACCAATACCCAGCTGTATCTAGGGATTTTTAAGGCCAGTTTTAGTTAAAACAAACCTCATAAAATTGATAAGAATCTTCCCAAGAAACCAGCAGAGAAACAGGCAATGGAAGAGTTCTAGTAATAAAGACACATGAATAATGGCTGGGAAGGTGGCTCAGTGGTAGAGTGCTTGCCTCCAATGCATGAGACCCCGGGTTCGATTCCTCAGCACCACATAAGCAGAAAAAGCCTGAAGTGGCACTGTGGCTCAAGTGGTAGAGTGATAGCCTTGATCTGAAGAGCTGAGGGACAGCGCCCAGGCCCAGATTAGGCCTCACAACCGACAAAAAAAAAAAAAAGGACACATGAATACTAGGTGGGGCAAGTTCTCCTGATGAGTCCTTTGCTAGCTACTAATTTACCAAGCAGATCAGTAATTCACCAACAGACCATTATAGCCTCTTCAAACACATTCCTCTTAGTAGACATTATGTTAAAAATGATTTTTTTTTTTTTTTGTTGGTCGTGGGTCCTGAACTCTGGGTCTGGGCGCTATCCCTCCCACTCTTGGGTTAGCGCTCTACCATTTGAACCACAGTGCCACAGCACCACTTCTGGCTTTTTCTGCTTATGTGGTGCTGAGGAATCGAACCCAGGGCTTCATGCATGCAAGGCAAGCACTCTACCACTGAGCCACCTCCCAAGTCCCTTAAAAACGATTTTTAAATGACAGCAAAAATAGTTTCCTATTAAAACTTAGGTATATATTACTTATCTAATTTTATTGACCCTTTAAAAGTGTTTTTGAAGAGGGCGCTGATGGATCA